CCACACCCTCCAGTGCTGTGTTGTGTTGTGTTGCAGTGTGATGTGCCACACCCTCCAGTGCTGTGTTGTGTTGTGTTGCAGTGTGATGTGCCACACTCTCCAGTGCTGTGTTGTGTTGTGCTATAGCGTAACATGCCACACTCTCCAGTGCTGTGCTGGCCTGTACGCCGTGCCTGGAATCACTCCATGATGCATGTCCTGGCTCCTGTCCCCTCAGCTCCACCCTGGGCCCACTGGGTTTGCTGACTCTTTTTATTGCTTTGGTAGGACAGGGCTGGCAGGGTTGGGGCAAACAGAGGCTGGAAACGTTCACTTACCAACCTTCACTCAGCCCTTTCCCCACCCCAGAGAGAGAACCCGACATTGACACGTTTCTGTTTGTGTGAATAACAACAGCCTGGTCTGGTGCAGTGACACGACCCCTCACTCTTCCCTAGGTGCGGGGTTCGGGGGCTGTTTTCCATGTGTTCATGGCGGATGTGGAGAAGTTCAACTGGCCAGTCTGGAGCATTGGCTTGGGAGCTATTGCATCAGTGAATGAGGCCATCAGAGTCCTGGACCAGGATGATGGAGGAGGGGCTGTAATCATGGGCTGGGTTTGCCGCTTTGTCTCTGTGAGCCATCGATCAATGGGAAGCGGACGTGGTGCCTGGGGCAAAAGGCCAGAGAGGAGATTGGGGTTCCATTTTCCTTTGAGGATTTCCAGCTAGTTCTAGTTACAACCTGCTGAGGCCTTGTCTTCACTGCAGAATTAACTTGAGTGTCGGCCCTGTCCCGTCTCCCGTCCACACACAGACCCTTCACTTGAGTGTGTTGCACCTTTGAGGCTGTTTACGCTGTGCCACAGTGCGGCCCACGGGGGATGTGAACTGCCACGCACACCAGAGTGTTGCACCCGAACCGTCCAGTGTGGATGCTGCTGGCACAAACTAAAAGGTACCTAGTTCACCTTAGCGAACAGGACTGTGTTAACGGAGCTAGGTCCCTTTTCGTTCGTGCAGCAGTGTCCACACGGGGCAGCTAGACTGCACCACTTTGGTGCGCTCTGCAATTCCCTGTGGTGCAGGGTAGAAAAGTTGGCTGCCCTGGCTGGGGGCGCAGGCTCATTGGCTGCTGCCCCAATCGCTCTGTGCAGCTCCAGTGTTGTTTCGCAGTGTGTCCACTCTCACTGGAGCTGGGCTAACTCGAGGGGGGTTAACCTGAATGCAGATAACTCAAGTGAACCCTGCAGTGAAGGCAAAGCCAGGCTGCTCAGCTGTCAGATGTTTGTTTGTTACATTTCACTCCAAGTCCCCAAATGTGCTGAAGATGGAATCCCTACAATTCGGGGTAGCCAGAGGCAGGGGTTATGGACTCTGCAGGAGGGTACGTCGACTGCACTTTACACTGATTGCAGCACAGGTAGGCGTACCCGAGCTAGCGTTAATCTAGCCTGGGTAACAATAGCAGTGAAGTTGCGCTGGCATGGACCCTGCGCAGGCTAGCAAGCTGATGAGCTTGTACGGGGGCAGCTAGCCTGCACCTCTTCACTGCTACCTGGTTACCTAGGTAGGTAGATGAAAGCTAGTAGGGTATGGCTCCCTGTTTTCCAATCACACCGTAAACTGCTGGGTAGACATACCCATTCTCTCTGGTCCTGCACAGTGCTAGGGTCGGAAAGCGGTCCTACTGAGCTGACACATGGCCTTTCTGAATGCCATCCTGGGCATATTGCTAACATGCCTGTCACGTGGTGTCTGTGGGGTGGATGCACAAGATGCCTCAATGCAGCTGTCTAATTTTGGAGATGATTTTTATAGTAAGCAGAAGTTCATTTTTCCAGAGCGAGTGACTAACTTTTCAATTATGCACCAGCATATTTCAATATCCCCTTTGAACTCATTTTCCTTGAGGCCTAATGAATGCAACACACGGGGAGTTCCTCTCTTTTCCAGGCAGGTCTGAGCTCTGGGACAGCAATAGAAAGTTAGGAGACTTTTCCAGAAGTGAGTGCATTTTGGAAGTTGCAGGTCTCCTAAATGGCAGGTCCCATCCACCTTCAAGCTTGTAAGATGCAAAGAGGTTCTCCTCTAGCAGGAGACTAGAGATACAAAATTTCTGCCAGAAAGGAGGTTTGTTTTTGCTGGAGTTAGAGGCAGGAGGAAGCGAGAACTATGGGCTCGTTGTTTCAAATCCATGAAACTATTCCAGTGTCATTTCTTCCCTGCTAACCATGTGCTCACGGATGCGCTGCAGAAGGAGCCAGTGCGACAGGAGCCAACGGGCCTGAGGTCAGCAGGACTAGACAGCATGTTATGGGGTTTGGCAGAGCCGAGTCGAGAGTTCTCAGCTCTAAGTGGCTCCGTGCTTCCAGGGACCAGCATGTCCTGCAGCCTGGGAAAGCAGGGCCCCTGCGGCTGCTTCCAGCATCTGGGGGTGACCGGGCCATTTCGATGGGCTTGGTGTCTGGTTTAAAGGAAAGAGCTTGATCTGAAGTGGGTTGGTGGCAGAGGCCTTGCGGGCAGGGAGAGGCGCACATGGATTCAGGGGTCAGATTCTGAAACACAAGTGACATTTCTAAGGGCTTGGTTCAGATCTGAAAGATCTTTGCTAGTGAAACGTGCTTGCACCATGTGTGTCGTATTGCCCTCTAGCGGCTCCTCCACATACAGGATAACAGCCTACTACTACTGCTACTCTAGTACTCCTTGGACTTTAGTAGCCGAGGTCTCTGCTATGGATCGGAAGGTCCTGGGTTCAAACACTGCTGCTGGGGAGTGTTGTAGTAGTAAAGCCCAGGGGTCATTCCTAGCCCTTGTGCAGCATGTCGCTACGTGAGCAATGCAGGATGCGGTGTGCGGAGGGGTCCCCTGGCAAGCAGCGTGACACTGCGTGATCCGTTGGCCTGCCACTCCCTCATGTTTGCAGTGCGGGTGTGAAGTCGGTGGGATTACCCTGGTGGGAGCACAGTGGAATGAGGCCCATGCTCTCTCTCAGCTGTTGTTGGCGTTGTGTCCGTAATGAGCCATGATTCATCACTGGAATGGGAAACCAGGTTTGTGTCCGGTTAGAGCAGAGCTGTGGGTTTATTTTTGGGTTCTTGCAGAGCTCCTGACAAGATTGGTTTTCCTGCTCTGCATATCTCCGCTGCGGCTGTGATTGGCCGTGGTAGGGCAGCGTCGGCAGATCGTGCTCCGTGGCTGGGCGCAAAGCAAGGGCACATGCCAGCAGGAATAACCAAGCGCCAGGCTCCCACCTACAGCCCCAGTCCCACGTGTCCATGGCGCTCGGGCAGATCTGCCAGACGCCCCAGTGTCCTGACAGAGTCCAGGCCTCCCGTAGCAGGCAAGGTGTGAGCAAGGGCCACGGCTGAGCCCGGGGCCTGCCCCCAGTATCACGCTGCATGTCACGCTCTGGTGGGTCATGTGAAGGGCAAGTACAGCGTCCGGGGCAGGGGCGGCATCATTCCAAAGCTCCAGCCCTCTCCCAGCAGGGTCTGAGCCCTTTCCTGGCTCCCTCCTGCCCTCCCACCCTTCCCCACACAGACACACGGGATCCCTGCCTTTGGGGGATTGGGCCCTTCAGCCCATTGGCTGGGCCCCACTGCTGCACTCTGTGGGGCTTCCGCTTGGGTGGCACCGTGGCATGCGCTGGGACGTCCCTGGGCTGGGGAGAGGGACTAGGGCTCAGGACCAGGGAAGGCAGAAGAATGGGGCTAGTCTGGGTGGAAGGAGAGAGAGGGGAGGAGGACAAGAGAGGGAGGTGGCAAAGCAGGAGACCTGGTAAGTTTGGAGGAGCCCTGGACCAGGCCCCTATGTCCTGGAAAGCCAGGTAAAAGCTCCGCTTGCTCAGGGGTCCCGCACCCCACACCTCGGTGTTGAGCTTGAGCCGCCTGTCCCCCAGGTCTACGCCGGTGAAGCTTTCGTCAGCTGTATTCAGAGCAGTGCTGATGGCTGAGTCTGGGGGATGACTGGTCGGGGAAGCCACCCAAGGAGCAGTGGGCAAGGAAGATACGGGAGAGCCCCAAGGCACCTCTCCGGTGAGGCTGTCACATTGCAGCCGTAGTGTTTGCTAGATGCCAGCAGGACATCTTGTGCTGCCCCTCAGTCTAGGGCCTCTACTAGGCACAGCAAACAAGCCTCAGAGAGGGAGGCTTGAGCAGGGATTATTACTACAGATTTCTTGGAGCCCAAACCTTTGTTTTGTGCCAGGACCTGGCCCCTTCTGCTGGCTCTGGCTGACTTCTGGAACCCCCTCCAAAAAAAGCAACCTGCAATGTGCTCTCGTTAGGGAGGAGAAAAGACAGGGTCGGAGATTGGCCAGAGGCCCCATGTGCCAGCTCCCGGTGCCAGGGACGGGAAGGAAGCTGGGACGGGTGTGTTGGCAGGGAGAGGAGCTTGGCTAATCGATGCAAGAATGCACTTTCCAGTCCCGATGTCACAGGACTCTGCAGGAAAGGTAGCTCGTGCGTTGCTCATTTTTTGCTGTTTGTTGTTTGTCATTCAACAGTCACCTCTTTAAAATGTTTGTCATTCAGTCAGGGAGCAGAAGCTGGGACTGAAGGGACTAAACACACGCCGTTAATAACCGTGTCCAGCTGCAGTGGACAGTTTGTGAGCTTCCCAGAATCTGAGATCTGCTCCCAGGAACTCTGGCCAATCCTCACAAACAGGGAACATGCCCATGGAAATCAGGGTGGGTTCGCCGACAGTTTGCAAACAGCAAAAAGGCTCAAGGAAAGGGGGATTTGTCAGAAACACTCAAGGGATTTAGGAGCACAAATCCCAGCGGCTTTAAATGGGGCTTGTGCACCTAAATCCCATAGACCCGCAAAGTTCCCCCTTAAATTCATAATCAGCTTTATTCACAACAGATAATTCATCCAGCTGCAGTTCTGACCGTTCTGTTGAGGGGGGATGAAGTGCATGTTCACACTCACACCTTTGCCGCCGTCTGAGGGCTGATATCAGTGAATGGCTGACGTACGTGTTCGTACTAACCTCTCCCCCTCTGTCCCGCAGTGGGATTCGATCAATGAAATGGATGAATTTTTCAGCCCTATCCACACCTACCAGGTCTGTAATGTCATGACCCCGAACCAGAACAACTGGCTGCGCAGCAATTGGGTCCAACGGGACGGTGCCCGTCGGGTTTATGCTGAGATCAAGTTCACCCTGCGGGACTGTAACAGTATGCCAGGGGTGCTGGGCACCTGCAAGGAGACGTTCAACCTCTACTACCTGGAGTCTGACCGGGACCTGGGCACCAGCACCCGGGAGAGCCAGTTTGTGAAGATCGATACCATAGCAGCCGACGAGAGCTTCACCAGCGTAGACCTGGGGGTCAGGCGGCTCAAGCTCAACACCGAGGTGCGGGGCGTGGGACCCCTGAGCAAGCGGGGCTTTTACCTGGCTTTCCAGGACATCGGGGCCTGCATTGCCATTGTCTCCGTCCGGGTATACTACAAGAAGTGTCCCGCGATGGTCAGGAACCTGGCGTCCTTCTCCGAGGTGGTGACCGGGGCGGACTCCTCCTCCTTGGTGGAGGTGCGGGGCGAGTGTGTGAGGCACTCTGAGGAGAGAGACACCCCCAAAATGTACTGCAGTGCGGAGGGGGAATGGCTGGTACCCATTGGGAAATGTGTGTGCAGCGCCGGCTACCAAGAGCAGAGGGATTCCTGTGTGGGTAAGTCACTCTTTACCTCCGGATTAGCTCTTAAAGGGGGCCAAGACACCAACAGGTCAGAATGGGCCCTACAATATAGGGGTTGCACAATGAGCTCTCACAGCAGAAATGGTCCCGTGAACATTCTTGTAAATTCCAGTGGGTAAGGGGGGGATTTTATTTATTTTATTTGGTCTTTTATTAACAAGTTGACATTCCCCTGCAGCCTTTGCAATCCAGACATTGCAGCACTGTGCCAGGGCACCGGAACCCGACAGTGACATTGGCTAGAAACTGACCAAACGGAAGGGAAACGTCCTGGTCTGTTTTCCTCTCCGAGCTGAGGCGAACCAGCAGTGTGAACGGCTGAGTGTGTGAGCAGGTCGGAAAGCCGGGGGGGGTTATCCCCATCAGTGTTATTGGTGACACAGGCAAGGAAACCTGCTTTGTAGAAAGCTACGACTTGACGTCGGGCATGTCCCTCCAGCAGCTGAGAACTGCTCCGTGCACTCGCTGGTAGCAGCTCACGGCCAGAGAGAAGAACCCCCCCGCCGCCCCGGCACACCTACGCGCTGCGTCTCTCGCTTCTCTTTGGCAGGGAGTTGACAGCAAAGCGAACAAAAGAGAGACGCTGAGATGTATAAAACAAGGTTATCCCCTTAATCCCATCACCAACCAGAGCTGCCCCTGCAGCCCCCAGGGGTGTAGAGGAGACTTCCCTAAGAGCTCCCCGCCCCCAGAAGGGGTTCATGCTGCCAACTGTATAAACTGTGATAAGGAGTTCCCCGTGTAGCCGGCTGTGCGGCTGGCATGGGGCTTCGTGTGTACAGAACTCCATGCGCTGGGCTCCCCGGGAGGCCCCTCTCTGCAGGTTTGTTTGCTTTTGGTTTCTTCCTGCGAGGTTTTTAGAGGAGCAGAGCTTCGACTCTGCAAACAGGGACACCGGGCTTTGTTTGAATTTAGGGGCCAGGCAAGCGGTGTCGTTCATCTTACAAGACTTGACGCAAGGTTAGAACTTTCAAAGTCACATTGGAAAAGACCCAGGCTCTGGTGAGACCAGTATCTGTCCCGGGGAGTCCAGAGTTCTGCGGAGGTGGGAGAACAGGAAGAATAAGAGCTAATTTCTTAAATTCCTCCTCTCCTCGTGTCTTTGATTTTAGTAAAAACAACAAGGAGTCCTTGTGGCACCTTAGAGACTAACACATTTATTTGGGCATAAGCTTTCGTGGGCTAAAACCCACTTCATCAGATGCATGGAGTGGAAAATACAGTAGTAGGTATATATACACAGCACATGAAAAGATGGGTGTTACCTTACCAAGTGGGGGGTCAGTGATAACGAGGCCAATTCAATTAAGGTGGAAGTGGGCTAGTCTCAACAGTTGACAAGAAGGGGTGAATACCAAGGGAGGAAAAATCACGTTTGTAGTGCTGATGAGGCCAATGTAATCAAGGTGGCCCATTTCAAACAGTTGACAAGAAGGGGTGAGTATCAGGAGGGGGGAATTAGTTTTTGTAGTGACCCAGCCACTCCCAGTCTTTATTCAGGCCTAATTTGATGGTGTCCAGTTTGCAAATTGATTCCAGTTCTGCAGTTTCTCGTTGGAGTCTGTTTTTGAAGGGTTTTTTTTGTTATCCTGGGATACATGCGATCGTTGGCTTAACCCTTTCTCGGGTGTCTCGGGGGAGTTATTGCTGCTAGTGAAGGATTTCTGGTGCTACGGCATGTGTAAAGGGGCGGGAGGGTGGGGGAGGGTAAGGCAGAAGGTCACCTTCGGCTAGGTAACTTGTAACTAACCCTGCTGTTCTTCTCGGAAGTCCATTGTGCAGATCCAGTGTCAGATCCTCCACCCCAGGTGCCCGGGCCCTCAGACAGACCTCTGCCAGGCAATAGCAGTAACAAATCTTTATTTATCTTGGCAAAGCAAAGCGATTAGAGTCATTAGAGCCTCCCTTTCCCCCTAAATCTGTGGTGCTGTGGGCTGCTCTTCTACTGCCTGGTGGCTCTCCACATAAACACACTGCTCCACAGCTGAGCCCGAGTAGTGGCTGGCCCATGCTTCCTGCAGCAAGCCTAGAGGAAAGCTGTGATTGTGTCCAAAGCTGTGATTGTGTCCAAAGTTCCTTGCCTCCTATGGCCTCTTGTGTCTGCCATGTACCCTGAAGTGCTGTGTGGTGCGCTGCAACACGTATGCTATGTGTGTGAGTAGATACAGCTGTGAGGGATCCCCGGGGTGCAACCTGGAACTGCAGCTATGGAAGGGGACTTTCTGGGGTGGTGGGAATCCATCCCCACAAGAGGCAGTAGCTGGGCTGATGGCAGAATTCTTCCATTGACCGAGGAGTGTCCACACCAGGGCTTAGATCTGTTGTACTACATCCCTCAGGGGTGTGAATCTACGTGTTAGGTGTAGACTGGGCCTCGGAACACTGTTAATTAGAGCTGAGGCGGCTTCTAGCTTCGTGTGCCAAGGTTATAAACATGTCACATCTATAGATGTCAGAGCCAGGTATGAGTTCTGCACTGCCTTTATGGCTCCCTTCGCGCCCCCTGGAGAGCTCAAAGGGAAAGGGAATCTCTTTCTTGCAAGCTGCTCTCATGAATAGGAATTGACAGCACTCTCCACTTCTCCGACCCCGGGCTGTCTCTGCCTCTCTGCAGGTGCAGAGTGAGAGGAGCTGTTCTTTAGGAAAAGCTTCCCCCTTTCTCAGTTAGCAAATCGGTCGTGAGCCCATTAAGTTCTTCCAAGCAGGGAGTGTCTGTGTTTGGTCTGTGCGGCAGAGTTATATACAAAACGAGAATGATCCCGATGTCGTTTTTATTTGCTAAACGTCGTGGGCGGATTCTGTTCAGCCTGTGAGCGGTTTGCTCTGACTAGTCACTCTTGGCTGCCTGGAGCAGGCTGACACGCTTTAGCCAGGGCAATACTGAATTGTGATGAACGTGTTGCTGAAGTACATTACACATGGGGATTCAAAAAACCCTGGGCCAGGCTCTCTGCTGGGCCAACTCCATTGAAGCCCCCAGAGTCTGAACATATCAAAGGAACAGAATTCAGTGCTTCTGTCCACAGCTCAGTTGTGCTCTTCCACTACCACCGTCCAGGGCCCGAATTCCATCCCGACCCTGCTGGCCAGAGGAAGTTCTGCTGTTGGACGTTTCTCTCTTAGGAGCTGACCCATCATCATCATGAATGTTAATTAGTATTAGCGGCAGCGCCCACTGCATGCTGGGCACTTTCCAAACCCCGACGTGCGATGCTCAGAGAAACCCACAATCTAATGACAGACGTTTGAGGAAAGGGAATGGGAGTAAGAATAGGCCAATTGGATGCAATGTATACACAGTTGGCTGGATTCTCTGGCGGCAGCACACTACAGAGCAGGGGGGCTGGAACTAGGGGGGCTAGGGGTGCTGCCGCACCCCCTGGTTTAAAGTGGTTTCCATCATATGCAGGGTTTACAGTTTCATTCAATGACTCTCAGCCCCCCACTGTACAAACGCCCCGTTGCAGAGGGATAACGAGGAAGGGCTGGCGGACCAGCCCAGAGTGGTGGTAGCGTGTGCGATGGGTCGGAGAGGGAGCCAGGCTGGAGCACTGGCGGAGCGGAAGGGGCGGGGAGGGGACAACGACAAGGGAGGATGGCGGTGGGGCGGGGGGAGAGCAGTGCTCAGCCTCGAAGTGGCAGGTGGGGCGCCATGGAGGGGAGTGACCAGATCACATCGCCCTGCTGGAGGAACCCACTCCGCGAGACGCTGGCAGAGTTGGTTTTCCTCTGCCGCAGGGACTGGGGCTGGAGGCTGCAGGCCTCACTTCCAGCTCTTGCTGAACGCCCTGCTGGTGTCAGCTGAGGCTCTGGCTCTGAATTATTTTCAACACAAAGGGGAAGTGGGGTGGGACAGTACAAACCGGCTCCCTCCCCAGGGACGAAGCCGGGGAGAGCGGGAGCTGCAGCCTCGGGGTCCTGCGGGAGGGGAAGAACATAGCACCCTGCTGGCGTGGACCAGGCCCCCGCTGCCAGCCGTGGTAAAGCTCCCATTGACTTCAGGGGGGCAGGGCAGGTATGCAGCAGCAAGAGGCATTCGGTGATTCCCTCCAATGAGAGGGCAGATGTGGGTCTTGGCGGCTGTCAGCAGTGTACAGAGGTGCCCGCAGCAAACAGGCCAGATTAACATAAGTGACTTGAGAGACAGAGGCCAAGTCTGGGCTGAGGCCCAGGCTAAAGGGACCCCAAAAGGTGAATGCGGAGGGTAGCAGGGAATAGTGCGTATGAAGTAGCAAGCTGGGTGCCCATCTGCCTCATCCCACACCTGGGCTTGGGGTTCATCGGTCCCCAGCTCCGTGGCTCCAGCCTCCCATCCCCTGGTACTGACAGGCTCAGGAATGCTTTGGCCAGGATCCGTTTTCCGGACCCGTCTTCCGTCACTCTGGCAGGTACTTAGACAAACGGGGGTGGGGGAAAGCACTCCACTCTTCAAACATCTTTAGCTTTGACAAACAAGGCGTCCGCCTGTGAAAGGCAAAAGGAAATTAATCCGGAATCACATTTTAAACACTGCTGTAAAGGCAAAGGATCTCGTCTTTCATTTCTTCTCCCAGCCAAACCGGAATTTCCCTGATATTTATAGAAAGATGATTAGGCCTCCGCAGAGTGATTTATCTCATCTCGGCCCAATGGCAGAGAATGAAAAATCGCTGGGGCGCCAGCCGCTGGGATCTTGCTCTTGTCCGCCTGACAATTAAAACGGCTAATTTCCAATTTCAACAGATCCACTCGGGTTATAAATCTTTCCGGAAAGGCCCTTTTCACTATGAAAAATGAACTCTGCACGTATCCAGCATGCGAATCTTAGATCCAAAGATCTGTATCCGTTTGCTTGTGTGGTGTAAATATATTCCCTGATTACACCCTCCCCCAGGCTGACACTGGTAATGGGGTGATTGACTGGCTGAGTCAGTTATTGCCCGTGTTCTTGTTGCACTAATATTGGGATTTGCTACACGTTCATTACAGCGCTT